TCAACAGCCAGAATGGAAAGAACAGAGGGAAGAATCCATGAATTGGAAGATACAATAATAGAAATTACCCAATCTGATAACAATGAGAAAATGCACTGAAAAAGAAAAGTGAACAGAGCCTTAGGGATCTGTTGGACTATGACAAAAGACCCTACATGTCATCAGAGTCCTAAAACGAGAAGAGAAAGAGGGTGAGGCTAAAAAATACTTGAAGAAATAATGACTAAAAGCTCCCAAATTTGGCAAGAGATAATAAACCTACAGATTCCAGAAGATGAGCAAACCCCAAACAGGATAAACTCAAAAGAAATCTATGTCAACATACATCATAATAAAATTTCTGAAAGCTAAAAAAACAAAGCAAGTCTCAAAAGCATCTATGAAAATTTTACACCTTACCTATAGCAGGAAAAAAAGGTGACTGACAGCATCAGAAATCACACAGGCCAGATGAACGAGGCACAATCTTACTCAAGGGCTGGAAGAAAATAACTGTCAATCCAGAATCCTACACCAAATAAAAATATCGTGCAGGAATGCAGAGGAAGTCAAGACATTCTAAGAAGAAGGGAAACTAAGAGAATTTGTCACTAGTAGACCTCCCCTAATAAAATGGCTAAAGGAAGTTCTCTAAACAAAAAGTAAATGATAAAAGAGGGAATCTAGTAATATCAGAAAGCAAAAAAAGAACACAGTAAGCAAAAATATAGATAAATATAATAGGCTTTCCTTCTCTTGAGTTTTCGAAATTATATTTGACATCTGAAAAAAATTATAATACTCTTTCGTGGTTCTAGGTGTACATAAAAGAAATATTTAAGACAATTATAAAGAGGAGATGGTAAAGAGACATGAAGAGAGGCAAAGTTTCTATACATCACTTGAACTGGTGAATGATGACACAGGTAAACTGTGATATTATGTACATATAATACCTAGAACAACCACTAAAAAAGCTATACAGAGATATACTCAAAAACAAATGAAATTCTGAAGAATGTTCAGGTATCCCACAGGATGGCAGAAAAAAGAAAATCAAGGCCGGGCGCGGTGGCTCACGCCTGTAATCCTAGCACTCTGGGAGGCCGAGGCGGGTGGATTGCTCGAGGTCAGGAGTTCGAAACCAGCCTGAACAAGAGCGAGACCCCGTCTCTACTATAAATAGAAAGAAAATTAATTGGCCAACTAATACATACAGAAAAAATTAGCCGGGCATGGTGGCGCATGCCTGTAGTCCCAGCTACTCGGGAGGCTGAGGCAGTAGGATCGCTTGAGCCCAGGAGTGTGAGGTTGCTGTGAGCTAGGATGCCGCCATGGCACTCACTCTAGCCTGGGCAACAAAGTGAGACTCTGTCTCAAAAAAAAAAAGAAAATCAAGAATGAAAAGTAGAACAAATAGAAAACAAAAAATAAAATAGCAGATTAGAGATCTATCAATTAAATGTAAATAGTCTAAATACAACAATGAAAAGACAAAGATTGGCAAAATGGATTAAAAATACGACACATCTACATGCTGTCTACAACTCACTTCAAACAGAATAATATAGGCAAGTTGAAAGTACAATGATAGGGAAAAGATATATCATACCAACATTAGTGAACGGAATGGTATGTCCATATCAATAACAGATAAGGAGCTTTGAAGCAAACAGACTTTGGAGCAAAGAAAATTATCAGAGACAGACAGTAATGTTACATAGTGATAAACGTGTTGATTTTCCAAAAAGACATAGCAATCCTAAATGGGTATGCGTCAAATAATAGAACTGCAAAATATGTAAAGCAACAACTAATAAAAAGACAAAAACTTGAAAAAGATAAACAAATCCACAATTAGACATCAACATTCCTCTCTCAATAATTGATAAAACAGGCCGGGCGCAGTGGCTCACGCCTGTAATCCCAGCACTCTGGGAGGCCGAGGCGGGCGGATTGCTCAAGGTCAGGAGTTCGAGACCAGCCTGAGCAAGAGTGAGACCCCGTCTCTACTATAAATAGAAAGAAATTAATTGGCCAACTAATATATATATACAAAAAATTAGCCGGGCATGGTGGTGCATGCCTGTAGTCCCAGCTACTTGGGAGGCAGAGGCAGGAGGATTGCTTGAGCCCAGGAGTTTGAGGTTGCTGTGAGCTAGGCTGACGCCACGGCACTCACTCTAGCCTGGGCAACAAAGCAAGACTTTGTCTCAAAAAAAAAAAAAAGAAAGAAAGAAAAGAAAGAATAATTGATAAAACAGAAAATCAGATATAGAAGAACTCAATACCACTATCAACCAATTTGATCTAGTTGACATTTACAGAATACTTCATCCAACAACAGCATAATATACATTCTTTTCATGTGCTCATGGAACATATATCAAGATAGACCATATCCTGAACCATAAAACAAACCTTAACAAATTTTAAGAGTTGAAATCATATTGTGTGTTACTAGAAATCAATGACAGAAAGATAACAGTAAAACTCCAAATACTTAGAAACTAAACAACACACTTCTAAACTCTACATGAGTCAAAGAATGAAAATACAACATATCAAAATGTGTGGAAGACAGCAAAAGCAATGCTGAGAGGGAAATTTACAGCATTAAATGCATACATTAGAATAGAGAAAAGCGCAAATCAATAATCGAAGCTGTCATGTGGAGAACTCAGAAAAAGCAAAATAAAGCCAAGACAAGCAGAAGGAATGAAATCATAAAAACAAGAACAAAAATCAATGAAATTGAAAACAGAATAAAAATAAATCAATGAAACAAAGAGTTGGTTCTTAAAAGAGAGAAGACACAAACCACCATATCAGAATGTATGGCCGGCATGCGTGGCTCACGCCTGTAATCCTAGAATCTGGGAGGCCAAGGCAGGTGGATTGCTTGAGGTCAGGAGTTTGAAACCAGCCTGAGCGAGACCCCGTCTCTACTAAAAAGAAATAGAAAGAAATTAATTGACCAACAAAAATATATATAGAAAAATTAGCCAGGCATGGTGGTGCATGCCTGTAGTCCCAGCTACTTGATAGTCTGAGGCAGGAGGATCGTTTGAGCCCAGGAGATTGAGGTGCTGTGAGCAAGGTTGCAAGGAACTCTCTCTTAGCTGGGCACAAGTGAGACTCTGTCTCAAAAAAAAAAAAAAGAAATGTAATTGATCATTACTAGAGACCTGCAGTGTGAAAGTTAAGGGAATACTACAAACAATTGTGTACTTATAAATTGACAACACAGAAGAATACAATACCACAAAAAGCACAACAATCAAGTTTTATCAATATGAAATAGGTCATTTTAATAGCCTGTAATATTAAGAGCTGAATCATATTTAAAACCCCAAAGAAGAAGAATCTACAGGACCAGATGGTTTCATTGGAAAAGTCTATTAAACATTTGAAGAATTTCATCAATTTTATACAATGTTTTAGAAAACAGAAAAGAAGGGAACACTTCAGAATTCATTTTATGAAGCTAGTATTACTGCTAACAAAACCAGATAAAGACATATAAGTCTTCTCTTCCCCACTCTTATTCAACATAGTCGCTGGAAGTCTAGACACCTGCAATAAGGCAAGAAAAAAGCATACAATCAGAAAGGAAGAAAAAACATTCCCTATTTTCGAACCCAACATGATTTGTTACTTTAGAAAAATCTGAGAATCTACAAAAACACCCGGAACTAGTAAGTATTCATTCAGCAAGGTCACGAGATATAAGATAACATTAAATAAAAACATTGTTATTCTATACTAGCAATGACACATGGACAAAAAGTTAAAATACAGTACACTACAACCCACTCAAAGAGTGAAATTAGGTAAAATCTAACCAAACACACAACAACATTTTATGCTGAACACTACACA